AAGCGCTGTAAAATATGCGCGCGTGCGTGTATTATTAGTCAGGAAAGATATTTATATGTTTCTATCATAGCTAAAATGTTTCTTTTGTATACTGACATTTGAGTCATTCTTGATTCCAGAATTACAAAAATAAAGATGTTTATAATATAATATATAACTCATCCTGCTTATACATATTCCCCTGATTATCATAATAGTTACAAATTAATTCGTAATACTTTTTAAAACAAATTGCGCAATAGGAAATAGAATTCACATAATCGCGTAAAAGTATTTCAGCAAACGAAAACTCATACTATAATAAATCTATATAAATATAGAAGCTACAAAGTTTTTAATCGACATATAGATAATTCGAATAATAATTGTATCGATTTATTCTACCTAAAAAGATAGACGAAATTATTTATTAGTTCATTCGGCAGTAAAATTATTGGGGGGTCATTTACTTTTTTTACTTTCACTTTCAATCTTTTTATATTTTATGTCCAGACATTACATTCTATCGACTAAATTTACGGAGAGCAACTCTTTTTACTTCCAAATATCAGTTACGGTCCAAAAGTTTTGATTCGGATTGAATTACAAAGTTTTAATCCAGAAAAGTGCGTAGGAGTCACTTGAGACTTAAATGGGTTAAATAAATTGCTTTTTAAAGTGGATTTAAATCCTTTCCATTTTACAGTTATAATTGATATAACGCGAAACTCAAGTGTTTATATTCATGTATATATATACATATTTTTTTTTTTTAGTATACTTTATGCAGAGATATTTATATACAAATATTTTCGTTCGTCCTCGTATACAGAGTGTTTCATTTTTTAAACGTTTCATTCAGCGAACGCTTGCAACGGTACAACCGTCGCTACAATTTTTATGATCTAGTTTTTTTCCAGTGGCTGCGGTATGTGATAGTTATGGCGTATCCGGTTTTCGGGTATTTATTATCAAGCACGCGAGTTTGACTCGATTGAATTCAGACGATCTCGTAGTCCATTACGATTTCGTATATTGTACTGGTACCACACAGTGCACGTGCCGCACGTGCAAGTATAATATTTTTTTCTACCGAATGATATAATCCAATTGAAGTGACAGCGGTACGTAAACTGAGTTAATTGGAGCGTGCGTACTGGATCCTTTATGTGGAATTCACAAGCTGACACGGATATTCTGCAATTTATCCATTGCAATTGTTACAGCAGCCGTTTCTCTCATTTGTCCGGCGAAACGCGAGAAAATAATACCTCACTTTTTTTTGCGAGTGAGATATACGGGCGATAGAATATTGGTAAAGTTAACGACGGATGGGAATTCAATGACGCAGGCAGCAACGTCATTTGAGAGAGATACGAGATGATAAAATTATTCATGACTCCGGATACTAATAATTACGAGAAGAATTTCTTGAATCCGCCATGAGAATCACGTTATATAACCGTACTTCGATTATCGACGATAATAGAGCCGTAAAGAGAATAAAACGAAAGATTACGCATTCAATGGAATGTGCTTGAAACGCAGAAGAACGTATTGAAACTGGAGAGAGATCTTTTACAGAATTTCTCAGACCTTGTGCAGTTTATAAATAATGACGCGATAGAATAATTATACGCACAGGGTTAATCAGAGTAATTGGAGCAAAGGGATAATCGTGACACTGAAATAGAAACTGTTTGAAAATATGGTGAAAATTCCACTGTAAACTTTACGTATCGCGCAAAAAAGTAATCTTTGAAACCACATCTCCAGAAGTGCAAAGCCACGATGAGATAAAAAAGGAAAAAAAGCGAATGAAAGGAATAATTTCCGTTCGAATGATTTCAAAACTGGGTCATTACTCCAAGGATTCGATTTACAAATACATTTTAAATTTGCTCATGAAATTTAAAATATATAATATTCAGGGAAAAGAAAAAGATACGATACGAAGAGAGACATTTTGATATCGAAAATATGGTAAAAATTCTACTACAAACTTTACATATCACGCAGAGAAAAGTAATGTTTTGAAATCGTATCTCCAGAAGTGCAAAAGATGGGATAAAAAGGGATATAAAAGGAGGATCAAAAGAACGTCTGAATGATTTCAAAACTGGATCATTATTCTAAGGATCGGATTTACAAACGTATTTCAAATTGCTCATGAAATTTAAAACGTAATATTCGGGAAAAAGAAAAGTACGACGCGAAGAAAGATATTTTTATCTCGATGTACGTGTTTCAACGAGAGCTTTTCCATTTTTCAACAATCAATAAAATCTATCAATTAATGGACTCCTAGAATTCAAACAATAAACAATATTAGATTTCAAACAATATTCAAATATTCAAACAATAAAATTGTAACTACGAGCATGAGAATAATTATTTTAAAAATATAATAGAGCTCGAAATGTTTGTTAAATCGTGTATTTTAGATGATTAAATAAAGATAGAAGATTATTTTCACAAAAAAAAAACCAGCACTGGCTTTCACGCTCCCTTTTTTCTAATAATTTTTATTTATTTATAAAGCCGTTTTCATTATTTTAAATTTTAAAAAATATAAAATGTATTTAAAATATCACTACATATGCGGCGCAAATTTTGAGCATGAGTGTTTAAACGATTTCTTCTTTGGTACGATATTCCCTAATGATGGCTAGAAATTAGCCGAAATGTTCAAATTTGTTTAAAGTATCATAGACGTAATGATACTTTAAACATATTTCAATTTTAAATCATAGCGCACTAATTATCGTGCAGTTATTTATTCTCACTTAGTTACAATTTTATTTTATTTATATTACATTATCAGTAAACAGTCTCTATAAAAAAAATTTAATAAAAAACCCTTTTGAAAAAAAAAAGAAAAGATACTGGATCCACTCGGATCACTGTACCATTTACTCTCATGGACACGAAAGACGCGCAACACGGGAAAGACGCTTGCGAGGGAAATTGTCGGAATGTGCATCGGGTGGTACATTAACAGCTCTCTCTCTCTCTCTCTCTTTCTATCTCCCAGTCGACGTTCCGACCCATTTTAGAGCTTGTTAATTCGCGACGAGCCAGTTAAACTCGACCGACGTTGTTGGAATGGAAAGTCGTGTCCTCCGTGTTCTCGTCGGTACAATCAGGTACGACCAGCAGGGATAACAGCGGCACGGCGGCGGCGGCGGCGACGGCAGTAGTGACGGTAGCAGTCTCGGTCGGCGCGTCACGAACGACACGCTCGCTGACCGACGTCGCTCGTAGAGGAATACTAGTCGTGTGACCGGAGCAAGCGAGGCTGCTCCGTTTTCATTGATCCTCCTGTGTTTGTCTCGCGTGGACCGTCTTCGCTCGACGGGACAGCGGCTCGAGAGGAACCTCGAGAACGACGACGACGACGACGAGGACGACGAGGACGACGACGACTACGACAACGACGACGACGACGATGACGACGACGACGATGGGATGGGAAAAGAAACGCGAGCACAGTCGCGTGCGGCCGTCCCACCGATGAACTCACATTACTCCAGAGCGTAATTCCTTCAGCGGTGGAGGGAAGCCCGCTCGGAGTGATCGGCTTCGTAAAGCAGTAGTACAACGGCGGTCGCGGGCAGCGACGGACCGATCGCGGAGTCGTGTCGCGTGCGTCGGTGGTCTTCTCGGCATTCGTCACGCGAAATCGATAAACGGGGACGTCGCGAAAGGGAGAAAGAGAGAGAGCGCGAGAGAGAGAGAGAGAGAGAGAGAGAGAGAGAGGGAAAGGGAGAGAGAGAGAGAGAGGCGGTCGCTTACGCGCACGTTACAATTCGCGTCGTGAAAGGTGCTAAAACGAGGACTCGAGGGCGAGACGAGAAAGCGAGAGAGCAACAAAGAAGGAGAGAGAGAGAGAGAGAGAGAGAAAATAGAAGCGTTCGGAGATAATTACAGGAAACGCGAGTGAAACGGCGACCGCAGTTGGACTCGACTAGTCGGGAATCCTCGCGACGTTCCGCTTCGCCGCCGCGGAATCCGTCTAGCGGAAAGCAACGACGTTTTGGACGACCGCGCCGCAACGAAATTCAAGGATCCTCCTCGAGAATCTGCGCGGCGCGGAATCGTCGGAATCGTTTACGCTTTCGCGATCGTCTCGATCTCAATGGACCACCGTGATCGCGCCGCGACTTATCATTATAGTAACCTTGAGACCCTGCCAAGGTAATCGGGGGGGATCTTCCGCGAAGCGGGTCGGCCGTTCTCCTCGACAGTCCGCGAACGTCGGAGAACATCGGCAGACGCGGAGAAACGGTACGATTATATTCGCGCGAGATGAAGAAAAGCTCCAGCATGCCTCGATCGATAGGCGCACGGCCTTCGCCGGACTGACTTCCTCGCGCACGCAACGCGAGACGCGAACGCGCGTCGCGTTCACCAAAAGGAGCACGTGCACCTCTACGACAACGACGACGGTGGTCGAGGATTGGTAGCTCGCAGTGATCGTCACGGGGGAGAGGAGTCAACCTGGTCGAAGCATGTGATCTCCGCGGGGGTTTATCATCGATCATCGTGCCGCTGAAGGAGGGATGTTGCGACCGCACATCGGCAGGATTACTTAACGTCGGCCGATCCATGCGTGTCGATGGCCGATGCGAACAACGACGGGGTTGTCGGACGGTTGATGAACGATAACGGCGGCGTATAGACAGGTGGGATATCGTTAGCCGCGCGCAAGAAAGTGTGTACCGCTCGTCGCCGCCGTGGGAACGCGAGCGCGAGGGATAGGTAGGAAGCCGCAGCACAGGTGGCGGTGGTAAGGACGGGGCAGAGAGAGAGAGAGAGAGAGAGAGAAAAAAGGAAAAAAAAGGGTACAGCGCTCGCTGTATTGTCCTAAGGGGCGAGACCTGAAAGGACTATGGGAGTATACAATGGAAGGATGTACAACATGTCGGTATAAGTGAATGACATTACTGAAGGGGGGAAAGAGAGAGTGAAAAGGAAAGAGAGAAGGGACAGAGATAGAGAGAGAAGAAGAGAGAAACAGAGAAAGACAGAGAGAGAGAGAGATAAAGAGGGAAAGAGAAAGCGGAAAGAAGCCCCACAACAATGAAGGAACACGGCAACAAACAACATCCGGCGGAACCGGCGGCGAAGACGCTCAAGTCGCTGCTGAAGAAACCGGGCCAGACCAAGGCGAAGTCGCAGAAGCATCGAGTGGTGATCAATGAGAAGCTGAACGAATTCTTCGCGGCGGACTACATAATATTGATAAAGGAGGAGTGCTGCGCCGATTACGAGGAGGATTGCGACTGCTGCTACCAGGAGCACGAGTTCATGCGGCTGGGTAACTGCAAGGAGTGCCGGGCGGAATTGAACCTGCACTTTGGCATCGGCGCCGGCACCGGCACCGGCACCGGCAACGGCAACGGTAGATACGGCGAGATGGCGAGGGGTGTAGAGCAGGCGCTCTGCGAAAACGCCGTACGAGGAGATCATCGCGGCGGAGGGACCCGCGGAAAGAGTCAGCAGGGTCGCGAGGACACGCAAGCGGAGGAGGACGAGGAGGAGGATGAGGAGGAGGCCGACGACGGCGAGGAGGAAGAGGACGAGGAGGAGGAGCGGGAGGAGGAGGAGGAGGACGAGGAGGAGAACGTCGACGGGAAGGTGGAGACGGCGGCCACCTCGGTACAGGAAGGGAAGGACGCGAAGAACGAGCGAGTGGACGCGGCGGAGGACGCGGCGAAAGGACGCCGGGATTCCCAGGAGGAGAGCGGGACCGTGGTTCCGCCGCCACCGCCGCCGCCGCGGCACGATCAGCAGCAGCAGGAAACACTTAGCCCGCCGGAAGGTTACAAAGACGTGTGCTCCGACAGCGAGATCGCCAACGAGACGGAGCAACGTGGCCGCGCGTCCGCGTCCTCCGCAACGTGCACGGAGTGCAATTACTACCAGCAACAGGCATCGGGTAAGCCGACTCTAGTTGTGTTGTTACGTAATTTTGTTATTTTCTCGATTAATACCTCGATGACGGAAGACGTTACTTCCGTAACGTCCCCGTAATGTAATACTATCATTTCTTCGCTTCGACTCTCGCGAGATGTATGTGGAGAACAAAGATGGACTCTACGCATGTTATGAAATTAAAATACCTTCTTACAGCGACGTTTTTTTCCTATGCGGACTATTATGGTTATATTGAGTCTAAGTTGTAATTTACCTGTCGATTATCAAGAAGCAACCTTCAATAATATATCTTCAGTATATTGAAGGAAAAGCCGATTTTTTTTAATTAGAAGCAATTATAGATGGGTGATTGCGGAAATCGATTGAATGTTGCAATTTTGCTAACATGAGGATTTGAAAGGAAAAGGTGAACTCTTTGTATGTAATAAAAGTAAAATATTTTCTTAGAACGACATTTTTTTCTACGTAAACGATTATTTTATAATCGTCTTATATTGATTCTAAATCGCGATTTATCTGTGGATTATCAAAATTCGATGTTTAACAACATATATTGAAGAGGAAAAGCCAATTTTTTTTTATTAGGAGCAATTTATAGTTGGGCGATTGCGGAAATTGCTTTGCCTGAATAGTGCACTTTTGTCTTGAGGATTTCGAATCTACCGAAGCTTTATATATATCTATATCTATAAATATTCCCTCAGTAGGGAATTAACTGCTCGCAAACAGCAGATCTCTTCAACTCCCAGATTCTCATTTGGATAATTGAAGATTAAGGCATAATCTCTTCCGTAATTGAATAAGAATATATTTTAGTAAAAATATCGTTGCTTGATTAAGCGACATTTAATTTTTACAAAAGAACTAATTAATATTTTTGTTCATTTGCGTGACTTTTATCTGATTCGCTCTTTTTGTCATACGAAGAATAATGTTAAAAATAACATAGTAAACGTTATTGTATGATATAAGAATAACTTAAAAGTATTACATTAAAAATGCGAGAAATATGAATACGAATTCTCTACATAAATTTAAAGCAGCACCAAAAAGTCATACAAATGTTCTTCTTGTTAAGGAAGAGAATAGTTTCATAATATTCTGCAACGAGCAGTCGCGTAGCACAAAAGCAACACAACGTAAACCATAGCGTATACTTGAAACTTTAACGTCCAGAAAACTTTTGATATGTACCACCTTGCTGATTAGAGAAGGAAAGAAAATCTAATGCAGCCCGTTACTATCATCTAACAACCGTGTAAAATATTCATTTAAAACACTCGCAACATTAATCATTTGCGGTACCAAATCATAACGGATGTAAGACTGCATGTTGTTCCTTCCTCTTTCCATCCCGATTCTTACGTCTATAATTTCCTCGAAAACTAGGCGCTATTCGCACTTCACTGGAAGTTATACACTAATTTCTATTTGAACAACGGTCCACGATTTCTATTGACAATATCTGATTGTGAATTTTTTACAGAGAAATTCGTTGGAAGAATTTTATTTATCCATTTTGTTTCGAATATTGTCAAAAATTACTCTTATTGTAAAATCAAAGTGAATTTTTTCGGCTTCAAACAAGCTTTTTCTCTATGTTTATTACGGATGTATATATAGAATTTAATACTATTTATACTTTAAATGCTCAATTTGCCATACGTATTAAACCTATTACGTTTTCGCTATTATTTACAATATAATATTTTTCCCAAAATATTTTTCTGTGACGCTCAATTTCAAAACATGGATATGTTATTGGATAGTAGAATTCGAACGAAAATTATTGTTTGATAAATCAAGAGAGATATACTTTACTTTCTAAAAGTCGATTATATACATATATCTGAAAAATAATAATCTCTGTGTGTGTATACTTTTTTGTAAAACCGTTCTTGTAGATGTAAAATCACTTTTGCGAAAAGAGAACAACTTTGAAATATAATAACGTATTACGTTTGCGATTGTAATGAAATAATTAAAAAAAAAATGTTAATAATTCATATGCTTTATGCTACACTTATAGCATGCATGATGAAAGTAATGATGCTACATATCTGAAGTTAAATCTATCAGCTTTAATGGAAAGGTGCAAATTAGAAGAATTGCATCGTTGTTCAGCTCTTTTCTCACACATAACCGAGAAACAGTCCCACGATATCCCTTCACACAGGATGCGAATATAATAATGGTATTGTTTTTCATGAGTCTAGCCACGGTTGGTAAACCGTTTAAGAACATAGCAGGATTTTTATGCGCATTCTTTAGAATACCAAGAGAGTTTAAAAGGGAAAAATATCTGAATCTATAAATATTCAGAATATCATTCTATTTCGATAGTTACAACATAACAGTTTCTTATAACGTTCGCTTTTTTTTTTTTTTTTTAAACACAGGCACTGTATCGTAAAATTTTTTTAAAGGGTCATTCAGTGTTTTTATCAGAAAACTCGTATAGTTGCTATCTGAGAGAAAATAATTCAAATAATTTTTATAAACATCGGTAATCCGTATAATGCTGTCGTCCGTAATTATATTAATCGATTAAAAACTCTGATCAGGATCTATAATCGCGATCACGCAAAATGCCAATGTATGTAGATATAGAGTATAGGTTTATTCGTGTATATCAACGCTCACCGGAAGCGCGGCCTAGCGTAACTCCGGTACTTCCCCGGGAGATACTCAGTAAGAACACTTATATTTCTAACTAAACGGTTTGCGTTTTATGCTACGAAATAATTTGCCTAAATTTTCTAGGAGGCACATTAGACTAGGCACAGGTGTTTGGGGTTCTACAAAATCTCGCAGTTTACAACAAAAGAAAAATAACAGATATTTAAGGTACTTTGTAGGGATTGTATTTTACATAACTTATAGTTCCCCGCATACATTTCATACATGGGCTAAACAAACTTTCAACGTACATTAGATTCATTGAAACAACTTATTAGATTTATTAAAACGTGTCCGACATAAAAGTCCGCAACGTAAAATCTTTACTGTTCGTGTGTATTTTAAATTCGCAACAGGTTGCGATACATACGAATGAGAAGGAAAAACACATGCATCTTCTCCTAATGTGACATTTTTTAATAAGCCACCTCCAAGCTTGGACTCAAATATGTGGTAAAATTATACAAAGCAAATTATATGTAAAACAGACTTTTACGTTCGGGCTTTTTCCATTAAATACATATTTTTTTCTTTGACCTTGTGCTCAAGCAAAATTATCTTTACTTGACATAATTAATAAGATCAAAGAAGAAATATATATTTAGTGGAAAAAGTCCCTTTTTAATTCTCGCAACTTTTGAAATACACGAAATCGCCATATTTCATGGTATAAATATTTTACCACTGCAAACTCTTTGGTAAGTCGGAAAACAAGCTTCGTTTTCTTGCGACATGGTAAGTGATATATGGTATAGCATTACGATATAGAGGAGTGCTAGACTAGAAACTGCAGAAGTTATTCCAAGCTGTCAATCGCTCGATATACACACGGTGCGACTTTGAAAGTACATTAAACATCGATGGCCATCGCTTGGTTAGACCAGTAACTATTCTAATTAGGAAACTCCTTCTCTTCGATTTTGATATCGTTTAAATGAGAAGTTTCTCCTTTAGAAATACCACGATCCTATCGTCAAATTATTTTCAGAACTCTTCTTTTAATTATAGATGAAATATTTATTTCTTTAATATAAATATTCAATATAAAATATATCAAATATACACGTATCAAAATTTAAAAAAAATTGATTCTCATAAAAAAAAAATTAAATCTTGTACAGCTAGAATCCATTGTGAGAAGTAGATGCAATCAATCTGTCTCAGATTTCATATAATTTCGTAACGAAAATTGAACAATTAAAGACTGATGAACGTACAGTTTTTATGTACGTGTTTTTTTATTTATTTGACTTTATTTATTGTCGAATTTATTTTAATTTATGGACTACATGAACGATCTTTGAAGAGTGCGATGATTATCCAGATTCCTATTTTTTCACGGTAAAGTTTTCACTCGCAACTTAAGTAGTGCACGTTAATGAATGTATATTATATCAGAAAGAAAGAAAAAAATGGCGTTCGATGAAATTTCCGGGAAATGAGAGGCAGGTGTTTCTCTACCTGGGAAGTGATCTCAATAATCAAGGGAAAGTACGCGATTTCTGGCACACCACATATATCTCTTCCGCGTATCTGCCGCGACGTCGTAACACACATACCTGATAACAGATAAAGTTTCTAGCGAGGTTTTAACGAGATACTACAGTACAGAAATGGCATTTGTATCAGACACCTCGACTTCGCTTTTCACGGCCATTAATATGGCAGATTTGACGCCCTGCGTAACAAATTCTGCAAGGATCTCGTATTATCCAAAGATCGTTAGTGAGTTATAATATATAGTATACGTTTCACATATCATCTTATTGTCTTGAAGGCTGTAATAAACACGCGCGCTTAATGGAGTAATAATAATGCGCATAATTGCGTAAAGGCGTGAGCTAAGACGTATGAGTTCGATCTTGCCTCTTATGTTCCAGAATGCGAATCGCAAACGAAGGATCGTGGGAATGAACAGGATACGCAGGGCAGCAAGGACACAGTTCACGACGGCAGTCAGAGAAATTTGCAAGAAAAACAGGATAAACAACATCGAGCATCTCACCCCGGTATATCTTTTTTTCATTTCAAATTACTTGAGTATTTTTATTGCGATTTATTTTTAGAAATACAATCTGTCCTGCAGGCAAACATTTATTTATGTCTTTGATTACATCAAGTACCATCTATAACAGGAAAACGCTACATGCTTTCAATCCTTACTATAATCCTCTTACCCTCTTCACAACTTTCAGGCTGCCTTTTCATATTTTGCTGTAAACTACTTTAACTCATTACCTATTGATATTCATTTTTCTTTCTCTGTTTGTACTTTCAGATTAGTTGCTTCTCGTTTATAAATGAATATATTATATCCATCTTAAGTATCGTATTCTTTAAGCCTCAGTATTTGAATAATTTCTTTAATCGCCGATTACATTATTTATTCTATGAGCTCTTACATTTTTATATATCTGTATATATTAATGTATGTATCAGTGTTTATGATCTTCTTTCTATTTATGTAAAGTTTTGTATCTGATTATATTCATTATCATCTATTATTATCATTTTTATTTGTATTAATTTTAACTGTATCAATTTATTAATATTTTTATCATTAATAAATTTTATTATTTTTATTTATATTAATTAGATCTAGAATCTTTTTTTACAGTATTTTTCTGTAGCTTTTGTACTCGCATACATTCTTTATTATTATTATCATTGATTTTATTGTTATTTTTAATTTTATTGATTACAATAAAGGATTAAGGTTTGTAAAAGCAGCATCATTGCTGATGGTTCTTCTTTTGAGAAACGCTGCTCTCTAATACCTTATCTGTATGTAACATCTTTTATCTCTTGCGACTTTAATAAATCTATTGTTATTATATAGTATTGTAATATTGATGTAATTCATGTAGCGATCTATAAAAAATATTATGAGGCATTGTGTAAAGCGGAACGCGAGTATCTCTTTACATAGATAATTTATAACTATGTAACCGATGACCATTAATTTAAAAAATGACGTAAATGAAGATGCGGAAGACGATAAGTTCGAGTAAATTATCGGAGGTGCACGTACCTATCTAACTAACGCTTTTAATGCAGCATGCAATATTCGAGATAAAAAGTTTATATGGTGAAATGTTATCTCGCGCACTAAACGAAAGCGTTCGAAATTTCATTGCGCGTTCGCGGTGCATTTATTTTTCTCGTTTGATTCAAATATACGGTGACTTTGTTCCTAGATCTGCACCATCGTTATCTCGTGGAAACAATAACGATGACGACCGTTACGGAGCGACGCATCGTGCGGGAAATTAGCGAGGAGGAGCGGAAGGATTGCTTCGGGCGATCCGATACGGATAAAGATAAAAGCGTTTGCGATGCCCCAAAGGATAACGGTTTTAATCCGGCGCTTTGTCCCGGGACAGGCGGCTCAATGTCGATCGTTCACGAGAATGCGGCGCAGTTCACCACACGGTGTAACGACTCGGACGTCACAGAGGATCGTGAAGGTAATGCAAACGCCAAAAATTCGACGGGCAACGACAAAAGAGTGGCGACGACCGTGGAAGCGGAACGCATCAGCGATCAAACAACGACGGGCGAACAGTCGCGTGAGCAGGACGCGAAAGAGCTGTCTCTCGTTTTCAAACTGGGCAACGTGTCCCTCGCTAGTAACAGCTTGAAGCCAAATTCTGCGGTGAGACAACTCTTTCCCAACCCAAAGTTCATCTCGCCACCGCCGGTACCGGCCAACAAAGTGAACTCGTCGACCGGCTCCGAACACTCTCAGGATGAAGCGCAGAAGTTTCTGATTACCGCCGAGAGTCTGCGGCTGTTCGATGCGGTTAAAAAGTCGACGGTCCCCGGTGGCTCCTACGAGTCGCCAGAATGCGAGTCCAGCTCGATCAAGAGATCTATCGAGCGGAACACTCTGCGGCGTAGTCTGATCGGCAAGTACAACACGATAACGCGTAAGAAGAATCTGCGGCCAAAAAATCTGTCGCTGGAGGAACGAATCAGGCAGCTCACGTGCGTCGATCAGGACGATGAGAACCTGGACACGACCGACAGCTCTGACAACACGAATTCCGCGAGCGATTCCAAGTACGGTGGAGATCTCTCGATACGAACGTCGCCATTGGGTGAGGAACGGCCTATGTGCGAATCGCTGCCGGCGAGTGTGGCCTCGACGGAAACCACTGCCATTTTAACGATGGTGTCGACGAGATCGAACTCCTTGACGGCGGCGACGGCGGCAACGACGACGACGGCGGGAAAACGGCGAGCGTGTCCACGAACACGCATGGGCATAATTCGATGGGAATGCCGATGTTGGTCACGGACAATCCATCAAATCAATCTACCTACAGGAAGATCACGGATCTGTTCGCGCATAAGAAAAACATCCAATCGAATCTACCAGATCTCGGGATAGGCCCGGGTGGAAGAAATCTTCTCGCCAAAGAGTGCCAATCCAAAAACCCGTTGACGAAAATGAACTCGGATGTGCGAAGGCAATTACTAGCGAGCCTGGCACCGTTATCCTGTGTCACAGTCAACAGTTCTGACAACCAGGACGACTATTACCGAAACGACTCCAGGATGTTGGCATCCTCGAACCGTGAATCGATAAGCTATAACTCGGACTCGTCGTACAGTTTAGAAGACATAGAGGCAGCTCTGAATGGCGACGACAGGAAGTATGCCGGTCAACCGGATGTAACGAGATGCACGCCGATAGGTAGTAGACCCGACATCGGCGATAACACCGCTGACGAGTTGCTCGCGTTCGTCGAGCAGGACAAATCGAGGATGGAAAGAATAAAACGCCGCTACAACGAGACAGAGGATCGTTACACGTTCATTAATGGCTACCATTCCGAGGACAAGGCCGTAAATATATCTGAGAATTATGACGGTAAGGGCATTAAGAATCATGATAGCAAGGACGCGCAGGCAGACAATGAAGAGGAAGAGGAAGATGACGAACTCAACGATTATGGGTTCAATCGACGACCCTCGGTAACGGGTATTAAAACGCAATACGAGGCTACCAACGAGGCCATTCATCGAGCACGAGCTTGCGCCGGTGCAGCTAACAATGATGCGAGATCTGGCTCGATATGGCCGATGTATTGCGATGTAAACGGCGACAAGATCGACGCAAAATCTCTATTGACCGCTGACGGAGTGGACGAGGCGATTCCCATACCTACAGACGCTTACGCCACGATGGGGAGCTTCGAGCGGGACACAAACACGATCAATCGCATAAACACAATGCAGAAGCAAATCGATGACATATATCAGACTATTGCCGAGAGCACGGCGGTAACAGCGAATGTCCAGGGTGTTTCCGAGCACACGACTTATTTGGAGAACGCGATACCACCGCGGCAGTTCGTCAGAACTCCGTCCAGCGACGGTGCCGCGCACCTGTACGCCGAGCACAGAAATGGTCATCACTACTTCCAAGAGCAACAGCAGTTGTCGAGCACACGCATGCTGCGTATCGCGGGTGGCGGTGGTGGTGGTGGCGGCGGAGGACCAACCAGCGGTGGCGACGATATCGCGGGTGCAATATACACCAACACTCTGTCGAAGATGCAACGTCGCAATCCACCGGTGACGATCGCGAACTACCACTGCAACGTGATGCCCGGCGGTACCGTGCCTGCCGTCAGTACCAAGTGCTATCGCACCATGTACTTTGTGCCGTACAGTGGCATGTCGGACCCCACGTATCAGAACATACAGCGTATCCTGCCGCCGCATTCCTCCCCAAACTACGCCAGCCACATCGAGCGTTACCCGTATCCTCGTATAAACAAGACCAATCAGCAACAGGCGTTGTATTATAACACGAATCGTTCCGCGACGTCGCATTCCAATTTAAATACATCGCCACCCATCCCGCCCCCGCCTCCGCCACCACCACCACTCGCATCCGCCTCCAACCCGAATTCCATACCGTTGCAGAGTGCCCAGCAGGCCTTACACCTGCACATACATCCTCATCAAACTGAAGACTTCCGCTCGCCCAACATCGCGTTCTCCCCTGTGCCTCACTCGACGGTACATCCCATGCAATTTCACCATCATCAGCATCAGCATCAACACCAGCATCAGCATCATCACGGCGAAATGGTGTCGTACCGCGTGCCCATGGCGACGCAACAATCACCATCCTCGTACACAGTGATCGCGCCCTCGAGATGTATTCCGGCGAGTAACCAGGACGGCTATCCGTTGTATCCGGCTCATCTGGCACGCGGCGCCGCTACCGCCGCTGGCGGTACCACCGCGACTGCCGTCGCCGTCGCCGCAGACGTGCAAACGCAAACGATCTCCATCGCGGCCGCTTCATCGTTTTCGTCATCGTCATCCTCGTCGTCTTCCTCCTCATCGTCCTCGTCATCGTCTTCGGCATCCGCTCTGTCGTCTTCGTCCTCGTCCATATCGGCCGCTGCCACCGCTTCCCTAAAATGCACCGGAATCATGACTAATAGCAACAAGAACTGCGAATCGGTTCTGGGTACGTCTTATGGTAGCAGCAATGCACAGTCCGTGTCAGGGAACATCACTCCACTCGCGTGCCCGGCGTCATCGTCGTCAGCTGCGACTGTGACAGCAGTCGCCGGGTCTCCGGCGACGGTAATGCAATTACCACGCATCATTAACACGTGCGCAGTAACGGAACGCGGAGTTCCCGAGGGTGCCGCCAGCATGCCCACCCGAGACTTCCCGCAGTCGGCTCTTGGTCCGGCGAACTCGGCGTCACACGTCCTGCTGATGTCCAACTCTTACGTCGATCCCAACACCAGTCTCATGTCCGCTCCGGCCAATACTCCAAACACGGTATACTACGCCATGAATGTCTGAAGAGATCACGAGTAATTTATAATTGCGAATAATGTTTGAAAACACGCCTGAAAAATCTTGCCTGAATGTAAAACGTCTTTATGATGTCTTGTGGATATTGTCCGGGAAGTATTAACTCGTTCGCTGCTATGACGAGTTGTTTTACGCGATTCGTAAACAACAAAGGCGTTCAGTAGAGAGATATTCACCGTCTTTTCCACCAGTGACTGCACACACATGACAGAAATTACTCGTTGTCATCTTAAGACAGTAACATTTCTTGAAGAATGGTAACTAAAAAGGGATTAAGATGCAGTTCTACCTGAATTCTTTTTCAATTCGACTTTTTCTTTTCCCTATGCCTTCTTCGTTTTCTTATTTTTACTTTTTATCTATCCATAGTTTCAATGTTGCAATACCTTTCGATGGCTGATTTTGGCCAAGAAAATCATATCCAAAGAGTCTGTTTCCTTCGATTGATAGACGTACGAGAAATGAATTTTTAAAGAGATGACGAGACTGACGAGAAACGTCTCTGTGTGGGTACCGAAATTTCAAACGTTCTTCAGACACGGAAACACACGCATTGCGAACTTTTCACCAATATATATATATATATATGTATATATATACATATATATCTCAAGAATAGAGTAAAAACGTATATATGTGTACATGTTGTGCTAGATTTATATTTATATTAAATATTCGACATTATTTTCTTTACTAACGTATGCGACTATCCTTCATGCGATACCCATACGTTTTATTGCGGTATAATAACATTAGTTGGAATTATATCACTTTACACAGCTCGTTATCACAATATTGTAATACTGTACAAACTTTCTATGATACTGTAGATATCATCGCGTAGATCTGTGGTTCTAGATTTGTTCCTATCTACAACTTTGTAGATATCGTGACAAAGATATCGATAGTACTTTGTGTTAGATACTATCATCATATTTATGATCTGGCGAAGTTGTTAATTAATTTTCAGTTTTTAGCGACGAGACTTTGTAAATCACGGTTGTTCTAGCCGCCTTAACGTTAAATTGCATTGTACGGGACGACAAAGTGAAAAAAGATTTTGTCACGAGGAAATGTGTCGTAAAAATTCTCTCCCGTAGAGACATGGCTGCCACGTGTATTTATATTTCACGAAATTTTTCCAGAAAGGAGAAACCGTCTCCCATTTTACTGTGTATTTTGTAGTAAAATTGCTTGGAATTTTTCTTCTCCTTAAACGGAGAACGCTGTTCATGAATGTCACTTATACGCTTCATGCCAAATTAAGACGTATCGATGCCTCTAGTCAGTATAAAATTAGTCTACGATAAGAGATAGACGCAAACGCCAAAAATAAAAAAAAAAAAGGGAAGGCTGCGATTAACCCTTACAATTAGTAGTTAATTTCTTAGCGCGTCGTTTTGATTGACAGGCCGCCGCGCCGGGAATCCCTGGATCGTGTAACGGGGAATACCCTGTGGGCCCGTTAGACGCGCGTTAATCGAAACCAAAATTAACGTAGCGTGTTTACCGGTATGTAGAGAAGCGACGATGTTTAACAATAACGAAATTTCTTAAGAACAAGTATTATGTACGCACAGGGAGTAAGTACAAAATGCTCTACGATGCTAGAAGACAAAGGTATTTGTTACGACGCGCTCATCCTTCAGTCACACATTTATACACGCATTTACACACACACACATACACACATCGAGACGTACCAGTTTCATCGGGAAGTCGTTGAAAGTACAACTATCATTTCACGAATATTATCTCATAGTTCGCGTTCATAGATCATTTTATTCTATGAAGACTTGATGGTATGCAGTATAAATAGACAATATAGGGACATACGAATCTACCCCTTTTTTTAGCGTAGCAACTTTCGCCGTTGATCGCTTCACTTTCGAAGCCCGTACCCCCAAATACATACGAGTAGTCCCTTTTAAGATGAGATCGAAGAATAATCGCACGGCCTATTACAGTTTACTCAGCGGAAAACGAAATAGATACTTATTTATTTTCTTCGTGCCAAATCGTTGCAATGATTCGCGGTGTAGCAAGATACATGTCGCAACTTTTTAAGCGATTGAGATATTATAAGGGACAGGTTACGAGAGAGATGTTAAACGCGTCTGACAGTCAATTACGGCGAACTTATGATCTTGATAGGAATTAAAAAAGAAACCAAGTGGAACGTTTTTATCACACCGAAAGGATGAGACGGATGCGATTCGATAACAATTTCCATTTAATAGATGTTAATCGATCGTAACTATGCGACAAGCGTTGGGAGGTGTCACTCTTCGACTTGTTATTCTCTCGCGAGAGTGTTAACACATGTATTGTTCAAATGATAACTCTACATAGTAGGCTACTTATCACGGTGATACGTGAAGCATTAAGAACGGCGTATATCGTGAATATAGAAATTATATTATTATTTATAACACAGTTGATATATATTATATATATTGTATATTATATTATTTATATTTATATATATGCGTAAAAAAGATATAACGATTAGGTTCGATTCTGTTATAGCGTTACTTAACACAGCCGAGAGTTCTCGCGTAACGCGGAATTCAATTGGAAAGTGATATGCGAATCTGATTCGCGATTCTGTTGATATAGGGCTTAGCATACGTACGAAAAGTTCCCTTTTGTCGATGAATTCTACGCGTTTCACTAAATTCACGGATACAGAAAATAACTCTGACCTTTTCTCTGACGAGGAAAGGTTGAGTAGATATATGAAGTAACTCCGGTCTACATCACACATTGGCGGTATATAAATAAATTATGGTAGGTGTATATATTTTGCATAAAACAAATGTTGCGTGTCGACAATATAATATGAATCGTTGTATTGGTACGACCTGTTTACTTAATTAATATACTTACTTCATTTTTAGTAATCTTATCGCGACACGCAAAATGTATGCATCGTGCGATATCGAAATCCGTTCATTTATCGTATGTCTTGTGTCTACGCTTTATGGGAACTCAACGTATTAATCACAGGGTATATCTGCATAATGTGATTATAATGTGTGTTTAACATATTTATACCAAAGTTACATCATAACAAAAATTAATTATACCATTGTTGCAATTATTTCGATATTGTTCCATATTCGAAAATGGCTTCGTTGAGAAAAACTCGTTTATGATTTTAATTTTATTATGTAGACTTTTACATTAATCTTTTAGATCCGTATAGAGACATTTAATATTCTTATTATTAGAATGTTAATGCTTCTGATATTTTTATACCACTTGTTATAATACTACTTTTAGAGGGTGGCAATCAATATTATAAGTATAGTTGTGTGGAAAAACGGGTCACGAGTTCTATTCCAAAGGATAATTTTATAAAGAAGTATCCTCTGTGAATAGAAAGGCATTACTGTGTTAACTTATTAAAATTATAATATTCTTGTTATGATACTATCACTTTCTGTCTTTCATATTTTTTATTTTCCCCGTTGCTGCTTTCTATTTTGCAACTTTCTTATCTTATTGGAAACGATTCACATGAAATCTCCATGTAGAATCGATTCTAACTGATTCGAACGAATCGATTGCTCTTAGCACGTGTCTTTTATCTTGATTATTGATTTTACAGTGAAAAAAAAAATAGAACGAACTTATATAAGTGTACAAGCCAAGTGTATATTAGTATTAGTAATAGAGAATATTCCCCGGGTTACCTTCTGAGTAATTTTTCGAAGTGAATCTTCGTGCGCGAAAGACGCGAAGGATATCTCTCGAGACACACTAAAACTCGTTCACCTTCTACGTCTCGCACATTTAATCTGTCAAATCTTTCGGCTGGAAACACTACGATCCCTCGGGTAATCGAGAGATACCTCTCGTCACAAATTTTATTTTTAGCTAATGATCTTGTAACCAAAGATGTGCTTGCTGCGAATTTGCTTTCGTTATCAAATGTAGTACATATCTTATCATAAATTTTATTACTTGTTATGTAAGAAATGCGATATTGGTAAAGTTATTCTTGTTTTAATAGGTGAAGAGATAATAATTTGTAGACCTCTAACTTAATGTTAAAGAGTTTCTAAGGAACTTTTACTTGTAAAAACAATTTTTATTATTTATATATTCTTTGTTGACCTTTTCGTACACAACATATACATATATATATATATATATATGTATATTATATGTAGATGTGTATGTGTATTCTGTGACATTTTATCGAGACATAAGATCTACCATAAATGAACGCCTGTCTGCACATTGTAAAACATGATACATTTCATATATATGGGGTGATTCTCTTGAGACCATCTGTTCCTCATAAAAACAACTTTATCAAAGTTCGTTCAGACTATAAACGAATACCGTGGGTAGTTTGCGACATAGGGAGTAACTTAACGTACGTGCGTGTAATATTCAACGAGAGTACTTAAATGTACAGATTTTCGATTTCGAAAGGTATTTGTAACAACCGCATATATGTATATATTTCAAGTATTTGCGCGACTCTCGTTCGAAGGCGAGTGCAAGCGTACGCAAAGCGAATGTAATAGCGAATCGAGCAGTACTATATAAGTCGTGTACCATTTAGGCTATTCGGATAATAATTGTTGTACTTCTTATGGAATTAGAGAATTGCACTTTAACGCAGGATATATACTTTGTCCAACACTCGACGATCTCCGTTCTTTGCATAAGACGACGCGAAGGAATGCAATGCGGAGCTCCGCAACTGTTGAAGTCGTGCAGTTATACGAGGGAATAATTTAGGGATCGCATTTCTGTGTCTCCGGTGCGAAAACGCAATGCATTTACATTCATCCCTTATAGAAATTCAATTTAATATTAAAAATTACTTGTTTTGAACAATAATATTTTAATATTCAAAATAAGTAATTAATCATTGCTTTCCATTACGAAATTTCTGTAAGGGATGTTAGAGACGCGAATTATAATCAAGAAGGACACGTGGAATTAATCTAAAGGAAAGATCAGAGAGAATCTTAGATTTTCTTTTTTTTTCTTTTACATCAAGCGCTAATCGGACCTCTCGGAAGTTTGATCGACTCCGCAAAATAAAAAGCAGAAAAAAAAATTAATGAAAAATTAATCACGCGCTTTGATGTTGAGATCAAGAAAGTTGAAAAAAATTGAATCGATCGATTTGCCTTCCGAGAAGTTCAGTTGTAATTGCGAACGCGCGGAAGAACTCGAATCTGTGAAAATCGAGGTGTTTTCCTCACAAAGTATGTAATTGAACATTTATTACATTTTTCTTAGCGCACTCACAAGAAATATGCACGTCCACTCATTCATTCACTCATTCACTCTTATATAGCGTACAAGATAGATCTATTAATGTCTTATTATCGTGATCGATCGATAAAACTCTATGAGAGATATGCGTATTTATATTATGACTCCACCTCATGTACTCGTGTAAAAGACCCTGTCGATTATTATAGTCGTAGTATCGACAATGTTAGCGGCTACTTTGTATCGAGTGCTCTTAACGGTCTAATATCGATGGCACTTAACACGTGGCTCCGATAAGCCCGTCGTATTACGTGTACTTTCGAAAGGAAAAATTCTGGGGAAGTGCACGTATACGATGCGAAAGAATTTGATGTCTTGCGCGAGTATTGGAACGCGGAAGATTAAAAAATATCTAACGTAATAAAAGCGACGCGGACCGTTAAGGGTTAGCGTTTTGTATAAGATGAATGTGTGTGAGCCCATTGAATAATCCTCCCCCCTAAAGACGAAATTTTTCATCGTGTCTTTGATCGCGTCGCTTACGAGAAAGCACGTTACATTGGAACACTTTGCGACTCCGCAATATATACAAGAGAAGCAATAGGACAAGTGCCAAAGTTTCATCTGGAAAGCACAACATCCGGAGCACGCACTATTAATTCGAACAGTCCACAAATCACTGTGACATTAAAACGACGTCAAAATGGTTCCAAAAAATCCGAGGAACATACCAAGTCAATTAGAGAAAGACAAAATGACTTTATTCTTAATGTCAATAAACAGTCAAATTTTGTAACGGAAAATCATCATTTTGATTTTCATGACGTTAAAATGAAGTCATTTTGATATTTTATTGACTTTTATGTGTTCTATGAGAATAATTACTAAAAGTCATCTTCCAATCAACCATAATTCATTTTAACGTTACGTGATTTGTTCTGTTTGAGAGCTGTTTGCTTGGTCATACATGCATTTCTGTAATTAATTTAAAAGAAGAAAGGAGATGAAAGAAAGGAAAAACGTACGACAGCGAGATGGTATTAGAATTTACGGTTGATTGACAAGGCACGTATATAATTGAATTAGAAGTCGTATCGTAAATTACGATATTGCAGATTTTTTTTCGCAAACGATAATTGCGCGTGGGAGAAATATGAAGTATTTTAAAAATTGTGGGAATCGGGTTTTCTATTTGTGCTAGAAATCCTGGGACTCGGTAATGCGAAAAGGAAACATAGTTAAGCCATTCGTAAAATTTGTAGGATGCTCGTTCGAATTATCCTGCTTGTTGAGCACGTTCGTTAACCCTTTAACGCTGGAACTTTTAAATTTTATAATTTACTTAGAGAGAAGACTAAAATTTTTTCTTAGTACTTATACTAATATTAAATTAATTATTTATCCTTTGTTAAGTTACTTATCTCTAAAGAGGACAAATAATGAAATTAAAATTAAAACCGTCTTTAAAATGTTAGAAAACAAGTTCTCGAAGTGATATCTTATGGACGCTCGTGACGTTAAAGGGTTAGAAACATTTTATCCTCGTCACTCGATGCATCTTCTTACATCTTTTAACGTCTCATCTATCCTATTTAATTTCCGTCTCACATTTGCGCGAGCAGAACGTACTTGGGATTTGACGTAAGACTTCTACGTTTAGAGTCTAAATTTTGAACTGATTAGCGACCTGTATTATCACGGACATTTAAAATGCGTGGGCATATTATTCTGCAATATTACGTAAAAGTGTAATAAAGTAATGACAGCCCGTCAACCGGACGGATATGACGCATAGAAATTAGATACTTAACTCTAGAAGGACCGGCATGTTTCTGTACCTATATCACAGCAGCCTTTCTAGATAAGTTATTCTCGCCTCAGAGACGAGGATTCACAATTATCAAGACATCGGTGGTGCAATAGACACGAAGGATAAATATAAAAGTGTGGGATTATCGATTTGATATTCAAAATTGCGACCGTCAAAGTGATCTTTTTAGCGTTAGAAAATTTTTATCAGAGATTCTTACACGAGAAAAGTTGTAATAACCACGACGACATGTAAGTTGCATAGATCACATAATACGCATGATATTATTACGTCGACTGGCCAAATATCTTGATGATACATACCAAAGAGGATAACAAAGTTACGGAAGTGAATAGAGGCTGAATACAGACGGGGAGATTTATTTTCGAAATCTCCAGAATAATTTAGACCGCGTGAACGAATATCCCAAAGCACATTCTAATCGCGATGATAAAAAAAAAGGAGATAACGAGGTATGATATCGAAAGCAAAATGCGATAAAGTACGACAGATGTTTGTGAGAGGCAAGGCGGAGCAACCACGAGCGAATTCGCGAAGCGATGATTTTGGTAGCAAGCACACTTCCATTGTGTCAAAAGTACTTGATTATTTAATCGTAATAAAAAAAAAGAAAAAAGTAAAAAGTAATGGAGTAGGATGCGGAAAAATAAGCGTCCGATCGTACCATCAAGCTGTTTAGTCTTCTGAGCACCCCATTTGTAATGTACGAAGGTAATCACGCAAACGCGCTAAGCCATGAATATTAAATGGGCGAACATAGAAAATAATATTTAGACGGCAGAGTATCTTAGCTGATGTACTGCGTTAAGAAGAGAGAAAACGAGAAAAAGAAAAAAAAACAGACGTGTAAAAGACAGTACGGAGTGATAGATTACGTCGGTGCACGCGAATATAAATGATGTTCTTTCATTTAAATTCAGGACACACCCATGGCAACCAATGAGATACGCAAGGAAAATTTTACATGTATATTAACTCTCAGATGATGATACTAATAATAACATACTTATACATAAGAAAATGTATATATATAAATAAAACTGCAGCTCTATATATATATATATATTATATATATACATACATTGTTATACTATTATATACTAGTTGGTTTTCTTTAAACATCCCTTATCAAAATATCGATCAACTTTTCCTCAATGACACTGAATTAGTAACTCCTGCACTATATTAAAAAAAAATTTATTTCTATTATTTATATGTTAATCTAAAATTGGATCTGGATTGGATAAACAAATGCAAATGAATAACAAACGACGCCGTTAGTATTGTTGTACATTACTTGCAACTTGTTGAAGAAAGTTCGCGATTGTTTGTTTAGTTTAGATCCAGTTTGTTTTTGTTGAGAATTTACAATTTACAAAAGAAGCGAGTAAAAGAGAATGTACGACAATCTTCAAACACCTTCTGTACGTATCTTACATATAGAAGATATTGTTTTAAAAGTCATATCTTTATTGTATCTGCAATTATTGATAAGATTTAAATATTAAAGATTTTTTGAAATTTCTTGTAATTATTACAATTGATGTAAATATTATTATTATTATTATTATTATTAGATTTATTTAGATATATTTCTTTTTATTTTTATTTGCTGATCTGATGTCCATGCGAGTAATGATTATAGATATTATAATTAACAATTAAGGTATATAGCTATTAAAAATTGCTCGAAATAAAGGTTGGAGCATAAATCGAATGTGAGGAATAAATGACAGAATCTTAAACGAGTTTCTGGATGGCGATAATTTTAATTATTTTTCCTTCTTTAGACAATCAATAATTTGTGTTAGAAAAGAGTTCGCGTGACTGTTAAAAATATAATTACTCGATTATATTTATATATATAATATTAATTGTAGTTTATTCTATTATGATGATATTTTATAGATATATATTATTTATAGATATATTTTATAGATATATATATAAGATTTGAAAATATTTAATTTTTATTAAAAACTGCAATTTTATTATTATTATCCGAGCTCGACTATCCACGTGTGATAATATAGAAAAAAGTTATACATTATCGACACCGATAATTATACCGATCGAGTAAAAAGTGTAAAGCCGATATGTAATTATCAATCGATAATATAGCGCTCTTCAATTCTTATCGACCTCGTTCGATAAAAATGACAACAATAATATTTATCCGCGTGACATCCTCACCATAATTGTCGGATTGTCCTTCGACAGGTAAATCGTCCTACCTGTTGACCTCGCCTGTCAGGTGTCAGCACACACGCGGCTCGCGGGACCGGTGCCACCGCCCTTTGAACATGTCGCGCCCTCGGTAGACCGGCCCTACGTTGTAGTTGTGCCTTGTGGCGCGATCGCGAACATCGCAAACAACGAAGACGGGAACGGCCATGACGCGATGTAATAAAACGCAACCGAACAGAACGGAACGTAATGGCGATACCCATCCTTGAGCACCACTGTTCGTTTGGTGTAAATGGTGTCTAGGCGGAAACTCCTCGATCCGTCTTGTAAGTGAGTGTCGTCGCGTGAGATTGTGTGTGCGCGTATGATATACACATATATATTTATGTGTACGTATCTATACGTGATGGCTCCGATTCGGGGCTCTCGTACGCGCTCGATGGTCGAGCATCGTCGCGCACTCATCGCCGCACCTACGACGTCGGGCGGCGCCGCGAGATCGGCGAGCAGCAATAGCAGCAATAGCAGCATCGCCAGCCATTATTAACGACGACACGAGTGACGAGATCGTCGCGTTCCCTTCCGTCATCATCGTCGTCGTCGTCGCCGCCGTCGCCGCCGCCGCAGCCGCGAGGAGGACACGGTGTAGCGATCGACGGAAGCGGCCGGCGGGCGCTGTCGTCGCTGTCACGCAGCGGGCGTGCCTCAATGTGATCAATGAACTCTGGTTGATGCGTGTCGAGGCGTGCTGGCAGCGGGGCACACCACCGACGGCCCCGGTAGACGTACGTATATAATATATAATTACCCAGCCCATTTTTTTCTTCTTCCTACCACCCTCTCTTTCTCTCTTTCTTTCTAAATAGATAAGCTATGTCTCTCTTCTTCTTCCGCCTCTCCTTAGCTTCACTCCGAGATTCGTTCTCACGATATACGAGCCATCCGGGTTCTCTCGCGGAAGAACGCGCGAAGGGCGTTCTAGAGCCTCCATCCACCACCACGACGACGACCTATCCGGCTTCCATTTTCGGTACGCCGCCGCCTCGAGGAACTCGCAATTATGACGACCACGCACTTTATATGCGAACGGACGTGCGCGGGCGGCGCGGCGGTGTGTGGCGTGTACCTACAACGCGCGGCGAAGCGAGGTGAAAGCGTAAACGTTAGCACGCATTAAAACACCCATCCTCGACCATCCTCGACCATCCTCGACCGCGGTCAGTTACGGGACTCGCGTGAGGCGTCTCTCTTTCGTGACGACTCGACGTCGTCCTCGTCCTCGTCGTCGTCGCGATTAATCGCGCCTGGCCGACGGTGTCCGTTTCTACTATAATATATAGCTTAATTTTAATCTCGGCTCAACCAACTTGCCGTCTTTTTCTAGTTCTAGAAAAAGATGAAGAGCAAGCTGTACCGAGATTAAAGTTAATCTACATTGATAAAAACGAGCATATGATCGGCTACGATCAGAAATTTCACCCGGATGTACCGAGGTATCATTTGATCCTTGTTTAACACTCGGAGAACAGCAAGGATAAAACGATGTCAGACTCTGAATACACCCGACTGAACTTTTTGAACGCGGCCCTGAGGACCAATAAATCTAATGCACGTTTCTACCAATGTAGATTAACTTTAATCTTGGTTCAACTCTCTCTTCAGCTTTTTCTAACTTTTAGAACTAAGGAAAGATAAAAAGGAAGATTAAAGTTAATCTACGTTGCTTGAAATGGACGTTAAGGCTGGTTTTTTTTTCATTTTTTTGTTTGTTAACTCGTGATTAGACCTCTAGCTATGGTTCATCACTAATGCCCGTTTCTACCAATACAGTTTAACTTTAATCTCAGTTCAACCAACTCTTCATCTTTTTCTGGTTTTAAGAATAAGAAAAAGATGAAGAGTAAGTTGAACCGAGATTAAAGTTAATCCACATTGGTAGAAACGGGCATAAGGCTGCTTTTCTTTTAGGAGACGTGGTCGATCCGAACATTATTCTATCTTTCTTGACATTCCCTGAATAACAAAGATGGAATAATATTTGTCCCCTACAAGAAAAATAGCCTAAACTAATAATTTTGAAGTGAATAATTTTAAAAGTTTATCAGTTACTTTAAAAGTTACTTTAGGTTAGTGATTAATCATAGATAGAAAAACACGATTTTTACATTATCGTTAAGTTAAGCGAAGCTACGTCCAAGCCATGAGTTAACCAGAAAATGAAAAATTGAGTCTAGGGAAGAGGAAGGTTAATCACGGTGAAGCTAGCGGTACCGGAACGAGGAAACGATGCGGGGGACTCCGCGTGACTTACAATGATATACCGCAGCGCGTTATGTAAACACCGTCGCTTAGCGTCGTTCTCTGACGACGATCGGATAGATAACGACGCGGACCCGAGTTACGAGTACGTCCTGTCCTGTCTCGCGTATCCGCGCCGCGTCGTGAGAAAATGAATCGATGCGCTTTTAAAAAGACGCGTGTACGGTGACAGCCGAAAGTGGAGCAGCGCGTCGGGAATAGAGGCGAGACACTCGTGTCCGCTTCGCTCCGCTTTGCGAGACTCGGGGTAAAATTGGCTCGGATTCTGTTCCTTCTCTCTTTGAATCTCTCCTGTCCCTTTATCTAGAAATAGTGCGAGTTGCGGGATAAAACAAGTATTGTCTCGACACTGAGAAAGGCCGCGTTCAGCAGAACGTTTATTTTGCAACAGTGTGTGCAAGTTTTCCTCGCTGAGATTAATCTTTTACATCTAAAAGTGTTATCCAATCAGCGAGAAGAATACTTTCAACAATTGTAAAATAATTGATTAGAGAAAGGTTTTGTTGCTATCTTTGAAATATTCCATTATATTTCTACTTTTCTGATGTATTTGATTCTGTCATGCAGTCTATTATGATTACCCGTTTCCTGTTTTTAATAAAATCGTTAGATCGCTCAACGAGCTCACGTAAGTTGACTATTCTTATTATTTCATACGTGAATATTTTTTGCAGCTGATCATACATTGTAGATAAATTTTTTATCTGATTTAATTTTTTCCCATGAGATATATTTGAAAATTCTTATCTCTTTTAATTCTCTCGTTACAGATGATGACATAATACAGACACATTGATTGTCCCTTTTATGAAAATACGCATTAAACGATTGCTCCGTAAAACAGACTAAATGAATCATGATGAATGATATAGAAAGTTTTGGGATGAAGGGGGCCGGCTCGAAAATGCCTCACAGTCATTCGACGCCAGCTGGTGTAGACGGAGGTAGTAGGACACCTCCTGCAACACCGCGAAAAGCTGGAAAAATGCTGGCAGTTCGTGTACAGATGTTGGATGACTCTATTACAATGTTTCAAGTGCAGGTAAAGAATATTTATTTCATATCCTTAAATAATATCGTCCCGTATCTCAAATGCTTGCGATAATTACATGTTAAAATACATGAAGGAAATTGTACAGTGAAGCTCTCAAATAATTTAACAAAATTTAATATCTTTTAGCTAATAAAGTTTTAGGTCGATAAAGCTTCAAATTCACTTCTTAAAGTACTCTTTATAGAAGAAAACGCGAGAGTTTTTGTCTAACTGAGGTCACGATAGAACCTCTATAAATAAATATAAGTTAAGAATATTTTACGCTCTTGCTCTTCGTGTGGCGTAATATGTTTTTTTGAGACCTTCGTGTGCAATGTTTATACGCAAACTAAAATACGCAAGCTATATGTGAAAATGTTTGCCGTCTACTATTCATAAAGGCGACTTCTTGCGCCCTACAGAGACTGTCGCAGGAATAAATGTTGTAAAGCGACATTGAGTGATGCTTGAATATCTTATTGTACCTTCATAATTCTACATTATACTGCAATTGAATGTGTGCTCCTCTATTATCGCATTATTGCGAGTCTAAGCTACATATCTGTCCTATGCGTCTCCACGTATATTTTGTGTGTATGTGTGCGTGCGCGTGTGCGTATGTGTGTATGCCTGTGTTAAAACGCCATTAAATAATTTAATTTGAGAGAGCTTCATATCTCTGAAATATAATATAATGTTCGTAAAGTATATATATTATTTAATAGGTTTGACATTATTACTTTTATGTAACTTGAACTTGTGATCGTTCGTATCTTTTGTGTAATTCAAAAGCCTGCATATGTATTAATTCTTTCTATCATATTTTGCTCCATAGGCATGTTAAACCATTTACTTCGTGCATTCAGGTCAAGAGTCATTGTTACAAAGCCTCTTATAATCTTCTCCCTGAAGCCATTTAACTTAAAATTCCGATATTCAAGATTTGCACTTTTTTGTTATATTATTTTGGAGCACCTTAAAAATTTTCATACTTGTTTTAGTATTATGGAAGGTTTTAATGGTGCTGAAGAGAGCATAGATAAATTGAGCTTGTAAAAATTCTGAACTTGTAAGCTTCTAAAAATTTCCGAAAGAACCTTAAAATTAATTTTTGTAAATGAGATATTTTGTTATTTAAATTAAAAAATTTTTATTAGCTTATAATATTATGTATTTTTATATTGGCAAGATAGTTACCATATATATGCAGTATAGTGTGTGCATATACTTCCAGAAGAATGAGCTATTGGAGCATATAATGTATCAAATGGGGGATCTCCTTGAATGTGTGTGAAATATGTATACTCATTTATTGATTATTTATTTACAATGCTTGCAACGTGTTGCTTATTTCTTTAGAGATTAATTTTATTCTAGCATCTTAGCTTTTTTTACAGTGAAAGTACAATAAGATTATTCTGTACATTTACATAGCACTCGCGATTACATAACATTTCTTTTAGATATTTTATATGATAATTATTTATGAAAATATAACATAGTAACGCGAGATGTTGATATTTTATAATTTAACGAAGTTAGTTGTATCAAAGCTTAGCTATATCATATTGCATAAATGTAATTATTTGAAAATTTCAGGCCAAGGCACTAGGTAGAGTGTTGTTTGATCAAGTTTGTAAGCAATTGCATCTTTTAGAAGCGGATTACTTTGGTCTTGAATATCAGGAACCAAATTTTACAAAAGTAAGATGCGATTTTTAATGTAAATAACATTTTTCAATGAACAATGAAATTAAAGATATTGATATTTACAGTATTGGTTGGATTTGGAAAAACCAGTATGCAGACAAGTTGGTTTATCTCTTATTGATCCGTTATTGAGGTTCTGTGTTAAATTTTATACGCCAGATCCTGCACAGCTCGAGGAGGAATTTACAAGATATTTATTCTGTCTACAAATCAAACGGGATTTAGCTCAAGGTTTACTGCAATGCAATGATAACACAGCAGCATTGATGGCCAGTTATATTGTCCAAGGTAATAATAATTATTGTATGTTTCTACTACTATTAATTTTAAATCTAAGCCTAACAAATTAGATTAACATATTAATTGTTTCATAATATATTTTAATTTAATTGCCGTTGTTTAATAAAATATGTTGGAATCTATTTCTTTGATTATTATTTTTTTGTTTTTAGCTGAATGTGGAGATTATGTGATAGAAGACTATCCAGATCATACGTATTTATCAACGTACAAGTTTGTGCCTCATCAGGATCAAGAGTTAGAACGACGTATAATGGAGAATCACAAGAAACATGCGTAAGAAATATATATCAAAATAAATCAATATTTATTAAATACATAACTTTATTAATGTTGAGCGTATCTAATATTATTTTAATGTTAACAGGGGTCAATCTCCTGCAGAGGCAGATCTCAATCTTTTAGAAACTGCTCGACGTTGTGAATTGTATGGAATGAAAATGCATCCAGCTAAGGTAAGTTATACTCTAAGATTTATATACTTTGAAATTACAAAAACAGTCTGTTCTGTGTATAAAATATTTTTATAACTTTTTGTTATTTTGTACTAGGATCATGAAAATGTTCCACTAAATCTCGCAGTAGCACATATGGGCATTGTAGTCTTTCAAAATTATACTAAGATAAATACATTTAGTTGGGCCAAAATCAGAAAAATCAGTTTTAAACGAAAACGTTTTTTAATCAAATTACATCCTGAGGGCTATGTGAGTATTTAATTTATTTTTAATACTTAAATAAATTTATTTTTATATTAGACATTAAATTAATATGTATTTCAATATTTCTATTGTAATCATGTATTTATGTCATTTTTTATTACTCGTAGGGATATTATAAGGACACAGTTGAATTTTTCTTTGAAGGACGTAATGAGTGTAAAAACTTTTGGAAAAAATGTGTAGAAAATCATGGTTTCTTCCGTTGTTCTGTAGTTAAGAGAGTTGTAAGACAGAAAACTAGAGTGCTTAGCCGTGGATCATCATTTAGGTATGCCAAATCAGTTTCAAGAATATTGCTGAATTTGTCGAAGAAAGTCCAATTTTAATGTCCAATTTTTATAGTTTTCTAGAGTTTAAATGTATATTAGATATATACCTTATATTTAAATATTCTATTTTTAAAATATAATCGTACAGGAACTTGTTAAATAACATATGGTACTTTTTGAATTTGGATAATCAAAATATCACTACATTGTAATGCTTTTACATATTACCAGGTATAGCGGCAAAACTCAAAAACAAATTGTTGAATTTGTTCGAGATAATTACGTGAAGAGGCAGACATTTCAAAGGTAAGTTCCTTTACGAGATCGAAGAGTTGTTGAATAATTAAAAGAGTTCTTGGATACCCATGTAATATGTAGATAGTGCATGCAGACCATTACGTACTGTTTTCCTAATGTTGGTTTGTACCATTGAGATTTTTATTAACGAACGCACCAAACTTGTGAGTAAGATAGGAGGTGGCACGGTCTTGCTTTTGCCGGGATATAAGTCGATACTTATATATGTATTATCCAAACGTTTCCAATTTCCATAGTGGAAACGGTTTATCATATCCATTTTTATATTTCCGTTTGTCAGTGTTGCCTGCTCGGACAGGGGTGGCGGGGAGTCAGGCTCACCATCAGGCACGATAAACCCGAATGATGAGTGTACCCTCTCTCAATAGCGTGATCACTAATTATTTATATTGTTGTATCTAATAATACACAGCAAAGTACCACGTTTCACTGCCCTAACAAGTTCTATCCAACAAGATATTTGTCCATAGCAGTAGATTGTTCTCTAAAATAGAAGATAGTCTATTATATGATACAATTAAAAGAAAAGAAGTTGTTCTTGTACACCGGTAGATTTTCATTTGCTGTGCGATATCGATGCACGGTTGAAGAACGCCTTCATACATTGAAACATCGACTAACAAAAAGACTATAACGCGCGTGACATTCAATTTGTTTATAAGTAAGTTAAAATTATACATTATTACATATTGATATTAAACTCTGCAAAAAAGAGTCTCTTTACATTAAGGCGATTTTAAGTATTTATGTATTTTGCATCTTCTAGACTTTTTCACCTCGAGAGCAATAAAATATAAATAAAATTATATACGATCGTCAAAGTTGAATGCATTAAAGTCTAAATATGACGTCTAAACATGATGTGAATAATATATTAGGTATATTTATTTTAAAAGTGCACTTTTCCTTGTATTTTATTTATGCTTTGGAACACGCAAGATATTTCTCTTGTGTTTCATATAATTACTGCACGTATGGCTATTTTCGAACGCGCAAATAAAGTTGTCTATATTAATTAATGTTTTTATAAAGTATATCCTATATGGCATTTTTGCAAGTAGGACAGCCTTTTTTTTACAATTTCGTTTTCCGTCGAAAATAATGGCTGTCTTCACTATTCCCAAATTCAATGGTAGTACACAGTTCTCTGTTGCACCCGCGACAATCCGTGATGATTTACTAATTATATATACATGTATAATTAGTAAATATATGTATATACATAAATATTTGCACATTTAAATGTTTTAAAAGATATTTCTATATTTTATTATATTGTATAATACAAAATAACTCTACGTCAACAACAATAATTACATTGCAGTAAAAATCACTCAACGGCGGTGTTGACCGTGTATCGTATCAGAAGTAGAATCTATTTTTGTTTATCGCATATTTTAAGATGTGGATTGGTACGAAAATCAATATCATCCGCATAATTCCTTGCATCGTAGCGTCGGTTAGTCGAGAAGCATTCTTTTTTTCCGTTTCTTTTTTTCTTATTAACAATCGTTGACAAAAGAGAAAGAAGGGATAAGTTAGTTCCAAACACAGGCTTGGCATTTGACAGCCTAAGTCTGATGCTGAACTTGACTCTCTCTTGCTCGCAGGTCCAATTCGTTCCGGCAGACTAGCGGTGGTAGGGCATTGCAGGGCTCGGAGGGGGGAGGCTATCGTGGGGCCACTCCAAGCAGCTCCCTTATGGGCAGCTCCAGCATCTCTGCCCACCCCCTCCTGCCCCTCGGCGATCCTGGTATGTACCATGACCGACACCAACCTCCACAACAAACGCTTTATTTTTAATTTCTTCGCCCTTTGGCTCTCTATTTCTGTCCACCTGTTTCTAGCCTCATTTCTTTTCACCGTATCATAACTAAAGTATTGTAATAGTAGAGTAGAATAGCGTATCTTAAATAGATTGTTTTTAAACGGATTTTGTGCCTAACTTTTGTTATGTTTATAAGAATTGAATATGTGTGTGTGTATGTGTGTGTGTCTGTCATGTGCGTGTATGTGTGTGTGTATGTGTACGCGCAAAAATTATAATGTAAGAAAATCTAATCTTTTATGTATACGGATTATGATCATATCTCGTTGAAATATATACATGTACGTTTAGGACTCGAAATTGAAACGTTTATGCGTTTAGTTTCACATAAAAAACGAAATAATTAGTCGACTTTGATATACTATTTATATAATATTTATATTTTACTTGTTTATAGATGATAATATATACTGATTAATGATTATCATATACATATCAGAATGATATCATAATATTATTGATTATTATAACAAAGTAATATAATATTATATATAAAAATTTCTAATAACATCGACTATTAATTTACTCTTTATTATTGATATTGAGTATTAATTCGCTAATACTTGTTTATTTTGTAATTTATTTTTATTTTTTCTTTATTCAAAAGAATAAAAAAAAAGTTAAAATATCATGCGTGTGCATGCGTTAAATTCATTTTTTCCGCAATAGTCGTTTCATTAATTAAATATTCATTAGAATAATTAACATGACAGAGGTATAATCGCACAAGAATAACAAAACAATTCTATTATGTCATATGCGAACGTAGAAGAAAGGAGATTTATGTCGTGCGATTTTTCTAGCTCTGGCAACCCCAGCTCAGTCTCTGTCATGCGGTTCGATGACGCTGGATTCTCCGACGACTGTGACGAGTGTCTCGATGGGAGGGACGATTCACCGTCGAGAAGACACAGCTACATCGTTTCGGACGCTCACCTCTATCGACGTCCATTCACCAGCCACCCCCAGCCAGGTCCCAGCACAGCGGCAGATGCTTGCTACCAGCCAGCAACGGATTTCATCAACAGGTCGTATCAGCCCCTCTAACAGCAGTCCTCCCGAATTCCCACTACCACGACCTCTGCCCAGATACCCCTGGCAACGGTCGGCTAGTTGTCGCGAGTTGTACGCTTCTAGTTTTGAGGACTCCGGTAAAGCGCGGCCGCGGGACGACAAAGTCACCGCGGACCTTCCGTTAGATCCATTCCAGTTAGCCTCCCAGGGTGAACTAGATAACCCCATAACACGTTACGACGAAAGTAATCGTTCGTATAGCGCCGCTAGTTCGAAATTACCTTCTCTAGATCACGATTCTGTCCCCGAGCGTGTGTACAGCAGTTCCTACCCGGGAACGTCGTCGTTGTCTACCGAATCGGGCCATGAGGAATCGGGTCCCGCTGGAGATCTGTCACATGACGATCTCTCACACGATTCTTACGAGCTTTTGGAACGCGAACATGAATTCGAGTATCCGGAATCGTATTCTAGTCCACACGACGAACCAATATCCGATCAGAGCGACGAAGGAATCGAGCACGAGATGTTCCAAATGGACTCCGAAACCGATTCCTTTGTCAAGCACAGATCATTAAAGCCTTCAGAGAAACAACAATACAGATCCGCGTTTACTGATCTCAAGAACTCTAAAGTCAAGTCCATCGATCGGTACTCAGCTGTATCTAAGGTAGATAACGATTTCGTGATCACCGAATCTAGAATACAACGGACAGGTACTCAAATAGAACGTAAATTTGAAACGAGACACGCTAATTCCGTGGAACAGCCACCCAAGACGGGTATTCCGCATCAGGACTCCGCTAGAAAAGATCCCGTGGTGATGCAGGTACACAAGCAAAAAATGTCTGTCTTAAACGAGTTGAAGAACTTAAAACCCAAGTATAAGATCACACACGTAGATTCAGAAGTCTTGCGAGACGAAGGTATCATGCGTCCGAAATCGCGAATTGATGATGATCTAAGTCCGGTTGACGGAAGTAGAACATTAGATCATAGCGCAAAAGGTAGGACGACTAGGGCACGCAGTATTGCTAGTCTGGACGATCATCCACCGCGGTTATATGTCGAGACAGGTAGTCTAGGTCGAGGTCATAAATCTAGAGATAGGAAATCGAGAGATGCTGACGTTAAGGTCGAGAAAGTCTTGTCGAAGGAGCGTAGGAGCATTGAGAGGGAGGAGCGAAAACGGGACTACTCGAGGGAATGCAGACGAATGGATAAGAGTGATTCACGAGAACGTCGTTCAGTAGATCGGCTCGATTCGCGCGAGCGGAGATCGGATAGTCACGGTCGTCGCAGTATAGACCGGGTCGATATGCGCGAACTACGTAGAAGCATCGAGCGGCTTGATGTGCGCGAGAGGAGTTACGAGCACCTAGACTCAAGGGAAAAGAGTGCCTTTTACAGTGATTTCTATGAATCACGCGGTAAGAGTGTCGATCGTTTAGACTCTCAAGGGTTGCGCAGCAGCATGGAGCATTTAAAGAGTCCTAAAGAGAAGAGCAATCATCGGCATTTAGAGCGTCGAGAGAGAAGTATCGAACGGATCGATTCTCGGGAAACGAGAAAGAGTAGAGCTGCTTCTATCGATTACGATGCAAGGCATACTTTAGAACGCTTTGATTCCGACAATAGAAGCCCATTCGAGCGGTTGACTCCGAAAGAGCAACGGAGGATGAGCATAGAGAGACTCGATTCTCAAAAGTTCGACTTCGATCCACGAGCGATCGAACGTTTGAAATCTTTGGAACGTTATGAACAAAGAGAACGAACCTATGAGAGAAAGATCGAATCAAGGAGCGCCGAGCGAAAGAGTCTAGAGAAGCTAGACTCACGTGAGCGAAAACACTTAGGACGTTTAGAATCACGGGAGGGGAGGAGTCTCGAGTGCCTAGACTTCGACAGTGTGGAACGTAGGAAAAATATCGAAAGAATGGAACATAAAGATCAAAAGAAGACCAGGAGCAAACCCGAGAAAAGCAAACCGGAAGAAAAACCGCGGGAACGTGATGATTGGAGGAGTTTGGAGAAAGCACGGAAAGACGACGAAAGACGAGAGCGCGAGCGGCAAGCTAAACTATCCATCGAATCCCGTACGGAAACTGTTATTGGCGTGCCGCATGAGATGGAGAATTTGAAGTCAAAAACCGTGTTTGCCGAGTACGAGCCGAAGGTTGTTGGTGGTGTCGTGCTAGGCTTCGAGGAGACTGCGTTGCCCGGACACGTGCCAGTGGAGCGTACGAAGAGCGATCCAAATCCAGCACGGCAAAGATTAGGATCTAGCAACAGCAAGAGGCATATGCTGATGCACCAGAAATCCATAGATTTAACACCGGCCGACTCTGGCGATGAAGAACCGTTTTCAGACAGCGCAGCAATACAGAAAAACAATGCCGATATTCCGTATACGTTGCATAAGAGGCATGTTATGAACGGCACCGCATCCGATGAAAAATCCGAGTCGGATAGCAGTAAAACCTCGAGGAATGTCAAGAGTCTCGCCAAGGATTTACCGAAGTTACCACTGAAGATGGTAACGGATCTCCCATATTTCGATCTAACTAAGCTTCCCTCGATAGAAAAGGCCAGCAATAAACTATCTCCGGATAAACCGAAGAGCGGCACGGTTACTACCGCAAGACCAAAATCGATATTAAGCCCCTCGGATAAGCCGAAGAGTATTTTAAGTCCTACATCGAAACTTTCGCCTACAGACCCAAAGAGCATCGTTTGTAGTTTATCGCCCAGCAAGAGAAGTCCTTCGAAAGTGAAGACTCAGTCTCCTGAAAAGTTCTCACAAAAGGGCGGTTCGTTAGATAGAAATAAAGCCGAAGTTATCATCGAGGATTACATGTGCAAGAAATCTTCGAGTTTGGACAAAAAGCCTTCGAAATTGTCGCCGGTAGAACCGAATATTACTATTATCTCGGCTATCGAAAAACGTTCGCCCAAAAAGTCGCCGACTGATCCTAACGTAACTATCGTCTCTGTGATACAGAAGAAGAAATCTCTTGACGGTGCGTCCAGAAGTCCCACCAGTATTGCGAAAGCGGCGGATGCTGTAAAAGCTGCTCTGAATTTTGCCGATATCGTTAGCATGGAAATGAAGCAAAATTTGGAACGCAAGGCGAAAATTGAGAAAGATAGTCTAAAAGCACCGGACGATAGTTTAGAAAAGCAAGATAGTATTGAAAAGATACCGTTACCCGATATTCCTGGCGAACAGGCTGATGAGAAAACAATAGGTGGCCAAGTCAGTAATATCGAACAGATGATGGTTAAAGAATGGGATCGTTCCCCAAAACGAGTCGTCGATGAATTATCTGACGATGATCAAAAAAGAGATAACGTACAGTCTGTAATAGCTGAAGTTCACATACCGGCTACATTGGAAATCAAACCGGAGAAACCGCCGATTCCGGAGAAACCCAAAACATTAGAGAAGCCAAGTATTCCCGAAAAAACAAAACGTATTTTGGAAAGAATAGAATCGAAATTTTCGGAAGTTAGTAAAAATTCCGCTACACGAATATCGAGACCAAAGATCATTGATACAGGATTTGACGATTTCGTGGATCCAGTCGCCGATTTGCCTTTGGACGAAGTGCCTGTGAAACCTACTCTAGAGTTGGATAGTCTTAAAGTTCCTGAGTTTGTTCCTTTCATGCTGAGACCGCACGCGGAACCGATAAGATCGAAATCTTTATCGTTGGCAGAAGAGAAGGCGCCAATCGATACCTTGCTCTCACCGGAAGTCGAGAATAAACATTTCGTGCAAGATGTCTCTCCGAAGAGAATGAGAAAGGTGAAGTCCGAACCGAAAAAGGATTTCAAAAAACAATCAAAATCGTTAGAAGGCGACAAACCGCCACTGAAGAAGAGCGCATCGAAAGAGTCACGTTCACCATCGGTGAGTATAAAAATCGACAAATCCAAATTGAAACTCGGTGAAATGCCACAGGAGATCATAATAATAGATTCGACTGACGTGGCGCCAGAGATAAGCATTGTACAAAAAGCCAGATCAAAATCCGTAACTAGATTATCTGACAAGCCATTTTCAACATCGAAGGAGGAAAAGGAAGAAACGAAGACTCGCGCGAAATCTGCGTCCGTCGACGATGAATTGATTAAGGGCACGATAAAATCTGAGAAATCGAGACCGAAGTCATTGGGAATATCTAAAAGTTTGGGAAGTACGGAAAAGAAAGATTCAGTAGAGAAAATCTCGCCGAAGAGAATCAAAGCTGCTGCCAAGGCAGCTGCCGATAAATCTGCTATGGCAAAAGAAGCAATGTCAAAACAGGATACGAAAATAGCACGTGGAAAAGTGGCTTTGAAAGTGGAAGCGACTAGCGAGGAAACTGTTGCTGAATCAAAACAACCTAAACAAGAGAAGGATTCTAAGCCGTCTGTTAAACCTGATGTAGTGATTGATCAGCTAATGGATACTAAACGAGCAACGGACGAGTCCAAGGAAGTGGTTAAGGAATCAGGCAAAGAGCCAAGCAAGGAACAAACTAGTATAAAGAAAACTACGCTTGTTCAGGATTTAACTCAATCTCCTTTAGTCTTACGGAAACCGGGACAGACACCTATTCTGTTTGCTCGCGCACGTCTTGGTCTTTCGGAAGGTAGCGGGATTGGCGCTCTTCAGCGTCAAGGCGCAACGCAGTCGCCTACTGCTCAGCGGCGCGCGAAATCTTTGGACGCCGCCGTAATCTCCGTGCACAGACTACCGCCGGCGAACGCGTTCTCCAGCAAGGATGACACAGTGGACGTGTCGGAGAATCTGGAGGATCAAGAGAACGTTGCTCAAGGCGCAAGTATGGTATCAAAGGTGCTTTCAGTTCAGATGGAAGCCTCGCCGAATCACAAATCCGACAGTACCGATCACACGACCGTGCCAGAAATATGTACGGATTCTTTGTCTGTTACCGAGACTTCGACGCAGTATCTAGAGTCACCACTGACAGAATGTAACGAGATTGTTCCTTGCATTGATTTCTATGAGGGACAAGAAGGCGGCCAAATGCCATTTGTGAGTTCCATTAACGAAAACAGAACGCAAACATCGGTCATAGAGAGCGCTAAAATGGAGGAAGCAACAAAATTTATCGATCAGAGTTCCGCCGAATCCGGTATTGAACAGGAAGCTTCTCAGGACAGTTCCGATGCAAAGGTTGGTACATCAAAAGGTGCTCAGTTGGATCAAGATCAATCGGCAATCTTCGTGAAGAGCGCTAGCACAGAAGCTGTTTATAGACAAACTGAATCGCCGAGCGAAGTTTCTGATGGAGAGACAAATGCAAAAATTAGCGAAACTGTATCGCCAAAATCTTCTTCACCTCGTCCATACGACTTTCATGTCAGAGTTGAAGGTTCGAGAAGTCCTTCTGAGAGAGATGATGTACCTGATGTAACTATAAGCGCGGCTCGAGAGGACATGTTCTTCTTTAATTATGATCAGGATGATCCTCCAGATATGGTCAAGTCGCCAATACAAATATCCATTGAAGAATGTTCCGACGACGATATGAATCAGGAGGAGGATGAGGAAGAAATAGTAGAAGTACGGGTGGAGGACATCGACGAACGAGAAGAAGAGGAAAATAAACGGTTGGACTCTCTTGACACGAGCGAGGATACGCTCGATGCGCTCGATACGCAAGTGCAGACGCGAGGTGCGGATAGCGAATTAAGTTCACCGGACTACGGTGTTGATAGGATGGATGAGAAAACATTGGTCGAGGTTGAATTGACGCCGGAATACCTGGAGATGAAGAAAGAAGATGAAGAAACGGCGGAAGAATTACCGGAAGATGAACCAGCGAAAGAGACTCTGGAGATCGCGGATTCCAATCGTCTCTCCATCGACAGAAAACTCAGACTGAGCACTGAACGTTCGAGAAGCGAAGAAACCAACACTTGGACACCAGACAGAGAAGACCCAGACTCTAGTTCGTGTTCTATCGCTCGACCACTAGGAATCGGTCAGATACAACCCATAATAGATCGTCGGGAAATCGCTATGATCGAAGGCGCCCGAGACAGCGGTTCCTTGGATGATGACAGCAACGGCACGCAACTTCCTCCGAAGCAGGAAATGAACGTCACGTGGAAATCATTCCCGCAGGGAAGCTCCGGTAGTTCCAGTCTCGAGGATGGCTGGGTGCCTCAGGACGAGAGCAACGCACAGCAATCGCAGTCTGAAGACAGCAACGGTCAGAACGAGGATAGTTTCCAAGAAGACCTAGCGGACTTTCCCGGCACCTTTATCATTGGTCCTGAAATATTAGCTAATTATGGCGCATTTTCACTCTCACGTACGCTGTCAAGAATATCCGAACGATCGACTACGTCGGAGCAAGACAGAAGCGACTTGGAGGACTCCTTTAAACCCAGCTCGAGGTCGCCGAGTCTCGACGACGAGTCTTTGATGTCAAGCGATCATCAGCCATCTCTATCATCGGATCCTCCGTCTGGTACGGCGTTACCATCCGTTTCTGATGATCGCAGAACATCTTCCGAGCTGCCAGACATTCCCATCGACGTGGTTGGCGCGCACGAGGATGACTCGAAATCGCCGCGAACGACCAGGCGATCACGATTGCAGTTGCAAAGTTCCGAGGACTGGCCATCGCCACCCAGTTCACCTGTTTTTGAAACACCGGTAGTGAGTCACGTGGAGACATTTTATATGGAAATCAAACCGGAGGAAGCCGTCAAGGTGACCGTTACGGACAGTACGGAGACGCCCGTTCATGCGGAACAAGACAGTGATTCCAGCGACGAGAATAGAACGCTGCATGATGACCTGCATTCGACTCTTTTGGAGGACGGACAAAGTTCGACGTCTGTGACAACGGCCGACGGTACAGTCAAAATCGCGGTAAAACCGAAATCGAATTCGTACATAACTGGTTCGTCGCATAGCGAGGACACGTCGATGGGCTTGTCTATGTCCGAATGGTCCAGCTCGAACAACACCGTGCGTCAGTTTTGCCAGTACTCTGGTACAAAGTCTGACGACAACTCGCTCGCGGAACTTGGCGCCTCGATCTCAGACTGGTCAGGTAGCACAACGGTGATACCACAACAGTACTACGCTACACCCGCGGACAAAAGTCAGAGTGACACCACGACATCCGAGAGAAGCGCGACCAGCATGAGACCAAACTCGAAATGTCAATCTGCAGATACTTCCTCTCTTCCATCTCCGCCGTCTCCGTCTTCACTACCGCTACCCGTGTCGCCACCACTGCCTTCTCCACCCGAAACAGTTACTTCCTCGTTTCTTCATGACGAAGCCACCGGTTCCACGATCGAACAGCACGAGACTTTACAGGCCAAGACTACCATCGAGAATGACGATGATCTACGTCAATCTCAAACGCACGGTGACGAGTTCGACGAGGCGCGACGATTTATTGAGAGCCAATTCGATGAGCACCATCGCCTGCGCCGATACGATGACGAACAGCAAGGCCTTTGTCCCCAGGAATTCGCCGACACTTCGCCACCTCGTATCACTCTTCGAAATGAGTACGACGAGGCCATCGACGATGATTTCCAAATGGTTCCAGACGAGGATACGATCTGCGTTGATGACACGGCGCTGCCAATTCCCGAAGAGGATGAGGAGGATCAATTGTACGATAATGTGCCCGCAATGAAATATTCTAGTAGCGAGAAAATACGGATGGAGGTCGGTCGGGGGGACAGTTCGGAAGATATGCACGAGAAATATGCCGATCTCACGTTCCAATCGAGAATACCGGACGATTGGTTATCTGAGGAACGAAGAAACGTCCCGGAGCGGGAGAAACCATCAATGAAATCGACAGGCAAATTCGATCGCGGCTTCTCGGAACCGAGTCCACACGAAGCAGGCAGATATCAGGGCACGCGATCCACTGAACGGCCTGTGATGGTACCAATCCGAGCGAAGTCGACCCCATATTACTCTACCACGAGTCTGAGCGGCGAATCGACTACATCTAGTCCGCCTATGCCAATCAAGACGCAGATCAGAACAAAGACGATGCCTTGTTCGTCGAGCCGTAGCCCACAGAGCGAGGGTGACACCTCCTCGAGCATGGATAGCCCGGCGCATACGCCCGATCGGGGGGGTCAACGGGCATTCCGTCGGAAACGACAGCAGAATGCTAAGAGGCGACACCGCGTAGTAGTCGATCTTGAGATCAAGGACGGCCATATAGTATCCAGCACTGATTCCAGTTTCGACGTGGCAACCATACCGCCACCGCTGCTACCAGAAAGTCAGAGACTAGACGTAGACGACGACGAGGACGATGAGATGTCCCTCGAGATGAAGGATGAACATCATCGACAGCAGCAGCGTTGACGCATCGTCGACGATCGATACTAAACAGAAACGCCCGAGGAAAAGAGAAAATTGAGCGCAATCGGTCACGCTCACTCGGGGGCTCAAATTAGCAGAATTTATAGGCAAGTTCCCAGTTTCGTATGGAATTGAACGCACTTTAGAATTGACAGACTCCGTTATGTTGGCACTCTCTCGACTTATGTCTGTCGCGCGAAAGATCAAATGGGAACAGATCTCGACTCGGCCTGATCTTCTGCAATCTTGATTCAACAACGACGATTTGCCCGGCGAAGTTTTGCGCTGAGTGGCAATCGAGAATCGAGAGGTTATACGGGTATGAATGACGACATGAGCGAATTAACGAGGACGAAAGCAGGACAGACGTAAGACGAAGACGACGTTTATCGTTCCGGGCTGGAAAGCCCAAGGCTGAATGATCAAAAGCTGCGAGAGGAAAGTAGCATAATTATATCGTTAGGGATACGGATACGGTTTGTTACGCGTTTTAGAGACCCGATTTACTTTGATATCATCACGATAGAACCCCTCTGGTCCCCATCTCCCAGTAGATATGAGTATACTTTAGCGAGTAATATTCATATACATAATATACACGGGAAGTGAAGTATCTTAACTATCGTGATCAGCGTGCCCGTGCGCGACTCGTTGGAGAATGATAATCGTTACGTGCGACACGTTATATCCTATTAATAATAATGTTATAAGGCATAGAAATTGAAAGACCGAGACGTAGAATTTTCGAAGATAATTGTAAACTTAAAAAAACTTAAAACGAGCTGTGTCATCGCGAATCATTTTTAACCCCTTTAATCGGCTTGAACCCTTTTGTTTTTTGCACGAGATATTGTTAAGGATAATTGTGCAAATACTTGAACGAATGACGTAAACATTCTTTTCTTTCTCTAAAAAAAAAAAAGAAAAAAATATTAACGTAGCTTTGTTACATATAATTGCATTCAGCGCTCCCACGTGATCGTGCAATCGTTATCGCACCACGCTGTAACGACGTTATATAAATCAGCGCTAAATCACTGCGTCGCGAATACACGACGTTTTATTCGGTCGCGCTACCTTGAAATTCATCCAGGACAATCAATCGCGAGCGACGGTCGCTCGAAGTGGAATTCCCTCGAGGGAGAAACGAGGGAAAACGAAACGCGGAATTACATAAGGTCGTCCGGGGCGATTGTTTCCAGTTCGAATTGAATTCCGAACAGCAACGACAACGCGATCCTATGATTACGCCGCGGTTTGCTTCGCGCACGCGAATTAGAAAGGAGAGGAAGAAAAGTTGCTCAACGTAGATACGTAAACGTGATGCACCGCGCCTTTTCGCGTTTTTAATGGCGCCGCGGCAGGTGCATCTCCGGTATATCCTGCGTGTATGGAATTACCCTCGACGAGCGAGAGGAGCACCTGTTACTCGTTAATAGACGTTGGCGATGGACCAACCGAGTGGTAGCCGTTAAGCTCTCTGTTTTAGGTGGGAACTTAAGCCTCGTCTAATCATTAATCCGTGAGACTTATTCGCCTAGCGACAAATATATATTCGCAAGATCAGGCCGGGAAATCTATGCTCTATATTAAAATTGTTACTGGGCGATTATTTATCGCCGATACTTGTTTGAGAAGAAGATTGCAGGTAGAAACGCGTCTCGGCTGTTTTCGGAAAACTTATGACTCTTCATTTTTTTTTTCTTTTCTTTCGCTCGTTTAGAAAAATTTCTATTTGAGACTAATACGATCCGTTCAGAAAAATTTCTATTTGAGATTAATACAATCCGTATGTACATTACATTTTTATCGCTCACAATTATTCTCTTAGATCGGTGATTTTGAGAGAAAAAGAGAGAAAAAGATCGGCTTTACAGTGAGTGAATTATGGGAGAAAGGGGATGCTTCCTGATGAAAGAAACGTGCAGTTTGACCAGGAAAAACTTCAGGAAGGAGTCCGATTCGAGCGAAGCAATAGAAAGTCCCATTTGGATTTCTCATTGGCTTGTATTGTGCCTAGTTTTTATACCATATTTGTCATGTGCATAATTTAACTATGATAGCGAGGCGTGAACAATTTCGACGCTAATTACGACGCGTTTATGCACGCACGTGCGTGTGCATGTGACTCCCTTAACGCGTCTTTAGATAGGTAAAGTATATGTAAACGTAGGTACAGATTATGCAAAAAAGAAAACGAGTAACATTTGTAATGTTCATATCAGACTAGAAATTGAGATTGCCTTGGAATTTACTCATCAGAAGACCAGTCGGAAAAAAGAAAACCAATATCAAGTTTAGTGAACTTTGCTTCGATTGGTCAAATTTCAATTCAATCTCAATCTCTAGTCTGATATGGGTATTACGAATGTACACGATATGTTTCCGGGATAACGATCACAATTGCAAATTTACGCGACATTGTCAGAAACGCGATTTTGTTTATTTTTGTTGAATGGATATAAGGAATCCTCGAATTGCTGCCATTTTAATTTTACTTTAGAGCTGTCGCGACGCTTGTTTAGTATTTTCATAGTATTTTTAATTTTAATTTAATCTCTTTATAGTTTTTAATTTAATCTCTTTATAGTTTTTAATTTGGTTTTAATCGAATATGGATATTTTTCTTGTATACGTTTCGTAAATACGTATTTAAAAAACGGAATATCGAGCTACGAACTTTTAAAATGTTAGGTGCGATACCTGTTACATCTTAAAGATGAAAACAGATAAAAATAGATCTCAAACGGAATAGCAGGGTTGACTTAATTGATATGGAACTAGGTAACTTTAACTACTCCTCCTGTTGTAGAACGCGGTTATTTATAAATGGCAACTAAAACATTACTTTAATTTTAAAGGCTTGTTAAAGTATGTCCGAAAAAAAAGTATCTTTGAATAGATTCGTGGTAAATATAATTCATTACAGCAATAATTCGTCAATAATTCGTTCGGGAATTGCAGCATTCCTGATTACGAGGTGAAATCGTTATGTACTCTTAATATATCGGAGATTCTCGCCATATCATCGTTATTATACACGGCTCCATTAAAATCGTTATCTGATGATCGTATATGACGATGAAGGGGATACATAGTGCGAAATATGTGAAACGCACACAGGAACGAACGCTGAGTGCCGATAAATGATGGCGTGCTTTATTTGGCGAACTTTCAATTTTGATATCCGCGCATGTTCCGAGCCATAGGCTTAAATGCGAACGAGATTTACTTCAGGATTACGTCGATACGTGTCAGGGTCATATTGTTGGATTTTCTGACTACACTCTGTACATGTCGTTGTCCAAGCTAGGAATGACAGTTATCCCGGGATTGTCCGAAGCGAGAGACCATCGGAATGGCTGTTGCCGAATCACTTAAATAGGTCGCGGTTTCGGCAATTCCACGATGGTCCTAATTTGGAGCATGACATAGAAACGATAGATGGCTTATCTGACCACGCACGAGAAAAACAAATCTCCAAAAGATCTTCCGTAAATGTATCTCTATTTGGAAAAGAGCTTCCCATGACTTATCTTCGAGTTCGAAGATCGAAGATTTTTCCTCCTTTATCTGTGCCTATGTGATTTACGATACAATGTCTTTTTTTTTTCTTTCGATCTTTTTTGCAGCGATATTTAGATAAATAAATAAATTTAAATAAATTATGTTTAAAATTATATGCGTCGGCATATGTAAATTATTGAAATAAAGAGGGCTTTTGACGTATGAATGTTAGGACGCTAATTTTTAAATAAAAGTTAAGTTTAAGTAAAAATCACATTTTGCGCATCGATAAATTTAACGATTATAGTTGTTATGTAATAACCAAGCTAAAATTCTGAATACTTTAATCTATGAATCACAATTTATTGAAGAGAAGCATAATTTTTTCTCTTTTTGAGAAATTATGGTGCAGAATCACTAATGACGAACGGTTAACATACGATTCATCTCTCCGAATGTAATCGGTACAGAGGTCATACTGGTCTAGTTACGTTAATGTCTATAGTGGCACGGCCTGGGCGATTAGTCGAATAAAACCCTTTGATGCGTGATTAGTATCATTATGTCTCCGTTTGTGTATGAGTATCTGTGCAGCGGCGAACTCGATCGGAGACGCACGAACGCTACCAAACCGCAGAGACGAAATATGGCACAAGTTTGCCGAAACGTTTCATTACGAAAAGAAAACAATGTAACGTCACTTTCATCAGTTTAGTTTACTCGATTGAAAATTTTCTCTCTTTTTCACCCTCTTTACCCCCTTCTTCTTTTCCTTTTTCTCTTGTTTTCTCTTTTTTTTCTTTTTTTTTTATCACTTTCGTGATTTTTTCTGTTCACTCGCGTTTACTCCATCGAATTCGCCGTAACTCACTATATTGGTACGTCCTCCCCGTCTCTTGGCTCCTGCATTTGTGCATCGTCAGATTCGGTCCTGTCATCGTATGATATTGCACCTAGAGCAATGTTCATAGTCCGATCTTAAATTTAAGATTGTTTTAATTACGATTTTAAGATATAAAATTAGTTCCGTTGGTTGATGGAATTTTAAGACGATCTAACACCAAACTTAAGACGATCAAGATCGGATTATGATATTACTCCTAGAAACACTCTAATCAGAATCTTAAGATAGCAACTTTTAATTGCTATTTTTCCATTACTGTTCTTCAATTCGCGTTTTCAATTTCTGACATTGCTATTTTTTTTTAAACATAACAAGTAAATTAACACTTTAAAGAGATTTTATTAACATTTAATTCTTTTAATATTATCGAATGATGTAGTTTCTTTATAATAATTTTCGCTGATAAAATAAAATTTATAAAAATAATGTTTTTCAAATTTTATAAAATGATATTCCATTTAATTTTAACATAATATTTCTATATAAATTATAATTTCATTATAAAACTAATTAATATTTTGGACTAATTTAAATAATTAAGTAAGCAAGCAATCTGCAGTTGCAATTTATGAGATATTTTTACGTTTTAATATGTAAATAAATAATTATGCGGTTTTATCCATGTTTGATTAATAATTTCCATAGTTAAATTAAATATATTTCTCTTTCTATTTTTATTGTAATATATAATTTTTCGTATCTTTGTTTTCGTTAGAATTACAAAAAGGGACTATTTAAATGACATTCAGAAAACCTCAAAAATGCTCTTTCGGTTTTCTTTTCACTTCTTTTAATTATTCGTCAAAATTGAATACCCATGAAACTTAATAAATATTGATGTACGTTATGTGCGTCATAAAGATCACAGATTTTTCCGTTTCTAAAGGAATTTTGAAGAAAAGTGTTGGACCCTGGTGATCAAAATTCTGATTAGAAGGTTTCCAATCGCACTTACACATTCGCACTCGTCTCTATCTCGCACTTGTCTCCCCCGGTCCTTCACTTGTGTTTGCGCACAAGTTGCCGACTCGCTTCACAGTCTTGTTTCCTGTAAAACATAACGCCTGTTCCCCGTTCATGCAGATCATATGCTTTGCGCGATCATTGACGTGTCCGCGAAAGTTTTCGCGCCGTCCGAGTTCGGAACAGAGAACCCCAAACCCATCTGTCATCACGTCTCTCACTCAATCTCGTAGTTCGTAACACGTTATACAGTCGCATCCGGAACCAACGCGTAATACATAGAGGAATCGAAGAAACCAAATATCGACACGGGTATTTCCGTCCTCGTGCGATGTGTCGACTCGAGAACTCGTGAAGAACGCCTTTTGAACAGACGTCAGACTCGAACAAGAGATAGCTCACTGGGTCTGGGACAC